TATTTGTACAAAATAATAACTATTCTCTTAAGCATCGACGTCTAATGCAACGTACGTTTACTGGAAAGCCTCTGGACAAACGTCATTGACCGAGTAATTCTTCATAAAAGTGGTAATCGCGTTTCTTATATTCCAGTCCGCGTCCTGAAGATACTTGTAGCAATACTGAATGTTCATCGTGGCGAACTCGCGTAAAAATCTAAGCAGTTACATAGTTATTTGTACAAAATAATAACTATTCTCTTAAGTATCGACGTCTAATGCAACGTACGTTTACTGGAAAGCCTCTGGACAAACGTCATTGACCGAGTAATTCTTCACAAAAGTTGTAATCGCGTTTCTTATATTCCAGTCCGCGTCCTGAAGATACTTGTAGCAATACCGAATGTTCATCGTGGCGAGCTCGCGTAAAAATCTAAGCTGTTACATAGTTATTTGTACAAAATAATAACTATTCTTTTAAGTATCGACGTCTAATGCAACGTACGTTTACTGAAAGGCCTCTGGACAAACGTCATTGACCGAGTAATTCTTCATAAAAGTGGTAATCGCGTTTCTTATATTCCAGTCCGCGTCCTGAAGATACTTGTAGCAATACCGAATGTTCATCGTGGTGAGCTCGCGTAAAAATCTAAGCAGCTGTTCCTTCTCCGTCACGCTGAGTACCGTAAACTTGGGCACGGGTCTTGGGTCGATTTTCACTTCGCTAGCCGCAACGGCGGGTGTACCGTCGATGTAATACTGATCGTTAACGATGCAATATTCATTGTCTTCCTTTCGTATGATGATGAAGGTTCGGTTGAACAGCATGGGCGGACAGGAGGCCGGCAGCCGATACGAGAACAGACCCTGCACGGAAATGACCACGTAATTGTCCTCCTCGCTCAACAGGTCGACGTGAAACGTCTTGAAGTTGTGCGCCGTCGGCGGCTGCCGCCGCAGGGCGGTGATGATCTTCTCGGGTCCCCAGAACAGGGACTCCTGACACTTGGCGTAATCGACGAACTTCAACAGATTTCTGTTCGTGGAGAACGTCTTGACGATCTCCTTGTGCGCGTGATTCGTTATGCCGCCCAACGTCATGGAGTAGAACGCGTTCTTGTCGTACAGGCCGTTCATGACGATTCTATCCTCCTGGTCGTACAGCGTGAAGAAGTGCTTGACGAACTGCCGGATCAGGGGGATCCTCGTGCCGTTGCCGAGATAGTTGCTCTGTATACACGGCACGAATTTCTGCTCCATCCCTATAACGACCCCGTCCAACGTCTGCAGATGCGGGAAGAAGTTCTTCACCGCCTGTATGTAGTCCTGGGAATTGGCGTACCTGGCGCACAGCGGATTCCCGTCCAGCCAGAGCTCGCTTATCTTGTACTCGCAGAAGTAGCGCAGGTATTCCACGTCCAGGATCTGATTGTGCCGCAGGTCCAGCTTGGTCAGGTGATAATTGAAGAACTTGTCGTAGAGGATGATGGCCGTGAGCCGGTTGTACCGCAGGCTCAGCTCGCGCACCGGCAGCCGCGAGTTGGCCTCGCGGCTCCCGCCCATGATGCCCGTCCTGCTGCAGCGCAGCACCAGATCGAAGATATGCGGTATCGAGATGGGACAGAATATCGAGCCCAGCGCCCGCTCGTTCTCGAAGTCGTCCAGATTGAACGTCTTCTTCACCGGCTCGTACCGGGCGTACAGGGCCTCCGCTATGATCTTGCTCGTGTTCACCCGCAGCTCCTGCGCGCCGAGGTAACCCAGCACGATGTCGATGCGCAGCTCCTGGCCGCCGGGCAGCGTCACGGACATATCCAGACTCACGAGGGTCTCCACGGCGTTGCTGGCGCACTTGGCGAGGAACGCGGTCTTGCCCTTGTCCTCGACGGTGTACATGATCGGCACCAGGAGCGCCGGCTGGCAGGTGGTCACGACGGCGCGCAGGACGTCGGCGCGCCTGTACCGGGCGCCGTCGAAGATGATGAACTTGTGCCAGAGGTCATCGCGACTCGCGAGCGCCTTCTCGTGGCTGTCGAAGGACGGCTTGAGGTACGTGATCCGGTGCGGCTCCCACGGCGGTTGGACGCTCGTCGTCGGCGACGTTGTCGTTGTCGTTGACGTCGGCGATGCCATTGTTTATTGTTTACGAGAAACAGCGGCGGCTCCTCCTAACCTCTCCGCACCACCACGACTTAACGCCTAATTTATATAATAATAATAATAATAATAATAATAATAATAATACAACGGATATCACAATTGTCCGTCGATAATAAATATTGTATGATATACTAAATAAATATTTTTTTTTACATACTTGATATTTTTCTCGATTTTAGTAGACCGGTGTAAATCTTTTCTCTTGTTTACAAATGTCCACATTCAAGTTAGGTTAGGTCAGACTGTGCACATTAAGGTTAGAATTGGACGTGCGAACGATGTGAAGTTTGACGGTCTCGAATTTATCGATATACCTACACGCCGCTCTCGGAACGTGACTCACTTCACGACTGTGTTGCTTCCTGCGGTAATTGACGTATATGGTTAGGAATTGTGTTGAGACTTGAGAGCATTATACAACAAAATACATTTCACGACTGCGGAAGGAATATAAGGTGAGGAATCAAGACTTCGTTTAATTTCTTATTTGACTTGTTTCGAGGTTAAAGTAATTTTCTGTCAGTGCTGTACTTATAAATGTGAAGCATGTAAAGTGTGTTTTGTCCATATATTCAACATTGTTCTTTTTTTAACGAATGATGAACAAAATAATTTATCCACTTTTACCGAGAAGGAAGTTGATTTACAATAAGGAATCAAGACTCTGTCCAATTTCTTATTTGACTTGTTTCGAGGTTAAAGTAATTTTCTGTCAGTGCTGTACTTATAAATGTGAAGCATGTAAAGTGTGTTTTGTCCATATATTCAACATTGTTCTTTTTTTTAACGAATGATGAATAAAATAATCTATCCACTTTTGCCGAGAAGGAAGTTGATTTACAATAAGAAATCAAGATTCTGTCCAATTTCTTATTTGAGTTGTTTCGAGGTTAAAATAATTTTCTGTCAGTGATGTACTTATAAATGTGAAGCATATAAAGTGTGTTTTGTACATATATATTTAACATTGTTCTTTTTTTAACGAATGCAATAAAATAATTTATCTACTTTTGCCAAGAAGGAAGTTGATTTACAATATATATACCTAACCATACACATCCATCTCTCAATAGCTAATATCTGTAGCAACTAATTAATGTACCTAAATTACCGCTTTACTTTCACCAATTTTCCTTTATTAATTTGATCTTTTTAACTCAGCCTTTAACTTCCCATCACTCTATCTTGTTTATATTAATTATCGCATTACATGTAATATAATTATACACCTATTAAGATAAAAATCAAATGCAGTCGATGCGACACTTACAAGCTTTCTTTCTCAAATATTTCCAGAATACCATTCAGTGGTCCTTATTCACAGGAGACATTGTGATAATCGAGGATGTCGAAGGTGTTGGACGAGGAACTGAAGCAGGCCTTCTCGAAGCTGCACGAGAAGATGGTGGACACTAAGCAGAAGTTGAAGTTGGCCGATATGCAAATCGACAAGTTGCGGCGTACGAAGCAACGGGCGGAGCTCACCACGAAGGAGATCGGCAGCTTGCCCGACGACACGAGGATGTACGAGTCCGTCGGCCGGATGTTCCTCCTAGATAACATGAGCAACATTAAGGACAATCTGGACAGTAGGATAAAGACGTCCGACGAGAAGATTAAGACGCTAGAGAATAACAAAACGTACCTGCAGCGGAGTTTGAAGGAGAGCGAGAATGAAATCAGAGAGATGATTCAGCAGAAGCAGAGCAAGGAGACGTCGGGCTAAGACTTATGTGTCGAGATGCTACTTTAATGGTTTTCTTTTATTGATCTCTTTGGAACCTTTTGGATTATTATTTGAGATATGTATCTGTAAATATACAGTATCATGAAAAATCTGTCATCTGTTGGCTTAACGTCGCGCTTCACATGCATTTTTGTAATTGTGACATTTTTTTTTGTATACCGTACGTGGAATGAAATTATTGTCAATAAACTTCACTTTGTGAGAGTTAAACTCGATTATCTTTAATTATATATAAAATTGTATATGAGAGAAATACAAGGAACGATATTGTATGTATTTATAAGACAATAATGATTATAATTAAATAAACATTTTGATTTTGTAGCTTGAAAGGTGTTGAGAGAGAAATTGTTTCCTTATATTTTGCATTTTAACTCTCTGCCGTTTATTATTTTTGATGTATAAATTAAAATATATTTCACATATTATTGAAAAAATTTTTTTGGTATGTACTTTGTTTAATTGTGGTGAATTAATATCTATCGATATTATAAAAAAATCGAAGAAATTACAGACGATTGGTAATTATCAATAACTAATTATTTATCTAAAATGACGCAGATAATTAAATAACATATAATTGTAATGACATTGTAATTAACATTAAAACATAAAAATCAACATTAATCAACATTAAAACAAAAATTTTTTCAAAAATTGACAATTGATTTTCGATAAAGAATTTACTATTGATGGTAAAATTATCTTTAATTGGAATATGGCGACATCTATTTTCATTTATAATAACCTTTGAATGTGTGTGTATGTATGTATGTAGAAGACTGAAGACTGAAGAGGCGGCCGGCGACATAACCTTCCTTCACCAAAGTTAAATTTCGATCAATTTCGATCCGCGCAATGTCGACGTTAATATTAAGATCTATTGTGTCATTAAATAGGAGTACTCATAATGTTTTTACAAAGGTAAAATCTTTTGTGAAAGGCCTGTTATTCGTTAATATTCTAAGACAACGATAGTATTTTATATGGATCTTATGTCACTTATGGTTATGTTTTTTTGAAAATAATTTTATATTCGGCGCGCAGTTTGCTTTAACTGGAAATTATTATATAAGATTCATGTGCAAAAATATAATTATTATAAAATAATATAAAAATATTATTAATCATCAAGGTTCGCTTTAGATCGTAGGTATTTGATGTTCTAACGTTGCTCTTTTGATTTTATTTTTCTACAGCTTTAAGCTAATAACTTAATATATACATATTTTTTATGCAGCTTTCTTGAGCTTTCTTTTAATTAATAGTTTTTGTTTATTCAGTTTAGGTATTTGAACACGTCAAATGCGATGAGTCAACAGTCCAGCTTGCCCAAGCAATCCGCAAAAGTAAAGAGGAATTCGCCAATTACATGGAAAAGCTTAACAATCTCTGGTGTCGTCGGCGCCGGCCTTCTGTGGTACGTGCACCATCTTAAAGAGGAAAAGGACAAGACCTTGGCGCGGGAGAGGAGACAGCAGTTGGGCAAGGCTAAGATCGGCGGCAAGTTCGAGCTGGTGAATACGGAGGGGAAAACGGTGAAGTCTGACGATTTCTTGGGCCGGTGGATGTTGATATACTTTGGATTTACGCACTGCCCGGACGTCTGCCCCGACGAGATCGAGAAGATGACGAACGTGGTGAACACTCTCGGTGAGTGGTTGGATTTGGAGTCGATCGGAACAATTAAGGCGGATCTACAGTGTGCTCTGCCTTGTTCCTTTTTTTTCTCTGCGACCGTTTTGTCGACAATTGTATTTCTTGTCATGTGTTTCCTGCCTCTTCTGAAGTTCGTCAACATATATCTTGAAAATGAAGGATCAGGATATTCAGGATGTAAGAGGCAAAAAGGAAAGAGTGATAAAAATTGGTAAAAAATAAGAAGAGATCACGTTGTAGATCAGGTTTTAAAGCTGGATCTACAATGTGCTCTTTGCTTCCTGCTTTTTGCTTACCTTTTGTCTTTTTTTTCTCTTTGCGACCATTTTATTGACAATTGTGTTTCTTGTCATGTGTTTCCTGTCTCTTCTGAAGTTCGAGAACATTCATCTTGAAAATGAAGGATTAGAAATGTAAATAGAAAAAAAACCAAATTGTTTTTTTGTAGGAAAAAAAACATAAGCCTCGTTTTTTTCTTAAAATTTTGTTTTTTTAGCTATCTATTTAATATCTATATTTTGCTTAATATAAGCTAATTTTTCATGATTTTTTTATTTTATACATACATAGTAGATTTAAATTATCATCGTTTTAACCTTTACGCAGAACGAGAAAGCCAATATATTGATTCTGAAACATATTTTGAAGCAAGGACTTCAATGAATAATTATGATAAATTTTACTCAAGGAAAAGCTGTTTAGAAAAAGAATTAAAAAGATTCTCCTTTTGTAAAAGTTAAATGTAGATCACATTAAAATTAATTATAAAATTATATAATTACTATTTACAATTAATTAGTCGTGCTATCGGAATTAGAAAAAAAACCAAATTTGTATTTTTTCAATTAAATAAAACACGTTTTTTTCTAATGTTTTTTCTATCAGAAAAGAAAAACGTTTTTTTTACATCTCTAATCAGGATATAAGAGACAAAAAGGCAAGAGTGGTAAAAATTGGTAAAAAATAAGAAAAGAACAAAGAGCATGTTGTAGATCAGGCTTTAAGAGCCTATCCAGACAAACTTGCATAATTACATGCATAAAGAAAATTATCCAATCGCATTTCTATTACAAGAACGAACGTAAAATGCAATTGGATAATTTTCTTTATATACATGGTTATGCAGCTATGCAAGTTTATCTGGACAGGCCCTTAAGGTACAATGTGATCTTTGCTTTTGTTTTTTTTCCTCTTTGTGATCGTTTTATCGACAATCTTTCTTTTCGTTTTTTGTCATTTGTTTTACTGTCTCTTCCGAAGTTCGTTCAATTTTTATTCTGGGCGAAAATGAAGGATCAGGATATAAAATATGGTTAAAAGTGATTAAAAAAAAAACAAGAAACAGGAAGTAAGGAGCACAATGTAGATTAGGCTTTAAGAAGTACTTATCCTTGCAGTCTTGTATCTGATAGATCGAATACATTATTTTTATGTTTTTCGCAGAGAAAGAGCACAATTTCAAGATACAACCGATTTTCATATCGGTGGATCCGGACAGAGATACGCCCACCGTCGTCGGCAAGTATCTCAAGGAATTCTCCGACAAGATCATTGGCCTTACTGGCAACAATGAACAAGTCGGACAGACGTGCAAGGCGTACAGAGTTTACTACAGCAACGGCCCGAAAGACCAGGATAACGACTATATCGTTAGTATACCGTGAATTAGGAGCGATTAAAGGGGTTACGCCACCTTTGAGGTTTTAGAACAGTACCTAAAGTTTGGGATTTTTTTGTGGGTAAATGGATAACTTTATTTAAAATCTGTTTAGAAGACATTATTGTACATGTACAAGAAACTAAAAAAATATTTTTTTATTTTTCTTATGTCCAAATTGGCGGCGCACTACACTTGCAAAATCCCTTTTTTTTTCTCGGCGTACAGGATTCCAGGTACAGGTTTGACCTTGAACAAAACACAATGAATTTTCATTATCTACATATTAAAGACTAATGAAGTACGTAGGGGTTTTTAAAAATATTGATTTTTTTCAAAATGGCAGCTATTTTAAGAAAGACTTGTACTGACGAAAAACACACATTTTTCGTTAAATAGCCATTTTGAGAAAAATCAATATTTTAGAAAACCCCTATGTACTTCATTAGTCTTTAATATGTAGATAATGAAAATTTTTTGTATTTTGTTCAAGGTCAAACCGTGTGCCTGGAATCTTGTACACCAATTTGAAGACGCAGAAAGAAAGGATTCCGCAAGTAGGCCAGTGCGCCATTTTGGACACAAAAAAATATATAAAATATTTTTTTGCTTTTTTATGTACATACAATAATGTCCTTTAAATAGATTTTTAATGAAGTTATCTATTTACTCACAAAAAGATCCTAAACTTAGGATCTTTTTTAAGGCCTCAAAGGTGGCCTAACTCCTTAATAATCCTGCAGGATTACACAAGACGATTTAGTGATCGTCGATTCTGCGGCGACGCCGCATTTTTTTTTTCCAGGTGGATCACACTATCATTATATACTTGATAGACCCGGAGGGCTTGTTCGTGGATTACTACGGACAAACGCATGACGTAAATAAGATTGTGACCAGCATTCTTATAAACAAGTTGAAGTACGAACAATTGAAGGACGATTCCTCGTCCTGGCTGCCGTCATTGCCGATGAAGGGAGTGTTATGAGCGTTGCGACATTCCTGTGTGTACAGACAATTTGTAAGTCAGTATTGTGCTGTAAGAAAAATTTGCTGATGTAGTACATTAATATTAATTACATTTATAAATGTATATGTAAGATATAGATAATATTTATTTTTCACAACGATGCACTATACGATGTGAATATACAAAAGAAATTGATTTTTTTTTATGGGAACTAAAGGCTACAGAACTGTACATAAGCTGGAAAATAAAAGATTTATTGTTATATTCGTCCATTTTTTTTACTTTAATTTATCATAATTTATACATTAAATTGATTTGCGTGTAAGTTGTACATCAAATATTTGCCGATCTTAATACAAATATATATATATATATATACACATTTACATACACGTAGTGAGAGAGCTTCGAGGTAAAATGTTCAATCGAACGTTTATTTTCGGAACGAAACGCTCTTATCTTAAAAATTGATAACACTCTTCATCGATAGGCAGATGCGCTATCGACGCTTTCCTTAACAAGAAATTTGCAAACATTTATTATCTCATATACATATTTGTTTTTAAACATGTTTACAGTAGTCTTAAAAACTAGGATTTATTGAACAAGATATTCAATGATATTGTTGCACGGTTTACAAAATTAGCAATACTGATACTCTTTTACGCGACATTCACGACAAATGGTGAATGTAGAGGAAATGCGGTATCCTGAATCTATTTCGCCATATAATATATGTAAAAGTATATCTTTCATAGCATTTAAATGAGGTATCTGTAAAAGCGTCCTAATGTTTACGCGATGTTCGTACAACGTATGTGTAGTTGCAAATCGGATTGCCGATAACAGGCTTTTGCGATGCGCGGCGATATCGGCCGCATCAAGGTTTAACAAGCAGCTTTCATTTATTTATACTATGTGCGCATAGAAATTGTCGGCGAGCTTTCACAGCAGTTCGCGGCGTTTCCGCGATGCCCTGTTTAAAAGATCCGATAGAACTTAGATAAGAAGAAATCTATGCAATTCTATCGTGTTTTTGGTTCATAAATATGTTATCTTTTTTTGTTCTATTTAGTTATAACTTAAAAGTCATCTTTAAGTAATGTTTATCTCTGACCATATATATTTAGTCAAAATTGAATATTATCGTACAATGTTTTCAGTTAATGTATGATTAATTCTTATGTAATATTTTAATTTTAAAGATTTTGTGCCTTTCATATACAAGTAATTTCAAAAAATATTTCTTACAAATATAAAAGAATATGTAACAAATTATAATTTTTAGTTTGGATTGGATATAACTCGATAAATTATACATACGATAAATTACAATTGTTAAAAAAACATACGCACGCAAAGAAAGGATTAACCAATGCAGCTGAAATATAACCGTAGCTAATGTGTGTCTTTAAAATAGGGACAGCTAATATTGTTACTGCAAAGCTAAATTTATTAGTTGTTAAAATTTAGGCGATATTAGGTAAAAAATATTTGCTGCTAGAATCAAATGACGTTTAGCTAATTCTCTTGAGGAATATGCAGCAAAATTTTTAAATTTTTCAGCAAAATCATTCTTTCCATGTGCCGCTTTCTTAGCCGATCCTGTTAAAGTACACTTTTATTTTAGTTAATAAAATTGTATCTCACAACAAATATATTTTATCTTTAATAGTTAACTTTTAGCAATGACACACGGAAAGAACAATTTCGTTGAAAGATCTAAAAATTTTGCTAAAAACAGATCTGAAAATAATTTTTTGTTAAATCATCAAAATAATTTGTTGGAATGTTAAAATTGATAAGTATTGCTATAAAACATTTTAATATTCTAGCAATTATTTTGACTTTCGCACAAAATTATTTTGATTATTGAACAAAAATTATTTTCAGATCTGGATTCAGCAAAATTGTTCTTTCCATGCAGCAAAGTTTGAACTAACAACTGATAGTTAGCTGATAATGCTGAGTCATTTTTTTTGCGTGCAGATTTGTATTTAGTTTTTAAGTAAGATGTACTATTTAAAAGACGATAGAAATAGAAACTTCTCTATAGTAGTAAAAAACGTGGATCCGATTGAAACGATATAAGTTTACTATAAAATTAGGTAAAATCTCAATAAATTAATTAGAGATAAAGAGCTATGAGCCAAACGAACGTTTATGTTTGTATTTTTTTAAATAAATTTTTGTATAGTTAGGCCGTTATGATGACTGAATATTGTTTTTAAGGCTATGCATTAGTAATTTTGCGTTTTAACATTGAAAATGATCCTATTTGGATCGAAACGTCTGTCTACTATAATTTAATAAATGATTTACTTTTAATTGGAGCATACAACACCCTGCTTTGGCTCATAGCCCTTTATCTCTAATTAATTTATTATTATATATTGAGCTGAAAATTTTCAAGGTATCTCAATAAAGTTTAAATCTACTTTCATCATATCTATCGGATATTTCAAGCAGGGCGGAACCGGACCCAGGTGTGAAGTGGCGGACAGCGTGTCGTATTTCGAAACACATCGAGGTACACGTTTCGACACTTCGCACTCGAAGTTCCACGTTTTCCGATGAATCTCGTAAAAGTACTTACTAAAATATCGAACGTTGTCTGTACATCACCATACACACATAAACTCGCACGAATTAAAATCTACGACACGTACAGCTGCGCGAATTATATACGGTATGTATATAGGTATATCCCTGTAAAAAGACAATACAGCTAAAAGAAAAATACTCAGTCTCTCCGTTTTATGGCTAAGACGCGACCAGAGGAACAAAACGCGCGAAGAAAAAGAGGCCTTTTTTTCCATTGTTTTCTATCTCTCCTTACTCTTTCGAGAATTTATAGCAGGATTTATAAAAAAAAAGCCTCTCCAATTCCAGCCTCCAGTTCCTTTTTGGCGGACGGCACGCGTGTTTTTCGTTTAAACGCGTTTCGTTTGAACGTTTATGAGACCAGGCGACACGCGTCTTTTTTTTTTATTTCCCGTCGTGAAATGCGGTTATCACGGGGGTCCGCGATGCTGCTGCAGATTGTGCAACTCGTATGCGAGGTGACAGCACTCGGAGTCGCTCCAGCGATGCTGATCGCGGATCCGGTCAGCATTCGGTCCCGACGTATCCGACATCTGAGAGAAACAGACAGTCGTTCAGCAGAGAACCATTTTCAGAAAAGTGGAAATAATCATTTCATTCTCTTGAAGGAAAAAATAATTGGATCCTCTATCCTCGCCCGACAGAAGAGCGATTAATAATTAATGTCAATCAATTGTCCATAATTGTCCATTTAGGCGATCCCTACGCGGAGAGAATTTTATTTTATCCTGAATTTACAAATCCTACAAATCATGTTAATCGTGAGACAATACAGTAATTCGACGAATTCTATGTGATTTTCTCTGTTTTTTTTTACTGTGCACTACAATAAATTTGGTTTGTAGTGCATATTTAAAAAATAGTGAAATAATAATGATTTTCAGGGTAAATTTTAAAATTAATAAGAAATAAAGGGCTATGAGCCAAAGCAGGGTGTTATGTGCTCCAAGTAAATGTAACTCTTTAATTAAAATACAGATATAAACAGACGTTTCGATCCAAATAGGATCATTCTCAATGTTAATTAAGCGCAGAATTAATAATACATAATTTGAAAACAATAATCGGTCATCTTTAACGGTCTAACTATAATATATAAATTGAAAATACAAACACATATGGTTGTCTAAAACGGTCAGATAATATAAAAATGTGAGTACTACTTATCGCATAATAGTACTCACATTTTTATGATATCTGACTGTTTTAGACGACCGTATGTGTTTGTATTTTAAATTTATATGGTTAGACCGTTAAAGATGACCGAATATTGTTTTGAAATTATTAATTCTGCGCTTAACATTGAGAATGATCCTATTTGGATCGAATCGTCTGTTTACTATATTTTAGTTAAAGAGCTTACAAAAGAGATTACATTTACTTGCACTGAGAAAAAAATTGTTGATTTAAAAAAATATTATTTCATTCAACTAAATGCGGCGGTCACGGGCTGTCAAGCAAACATTTGTGAATTCAACAAAATACTTGTTAATTCACAAAAATATCATATTAATGATGTATGTTTCATTCAAAAACATATATAATTGAATCAAAGAAAAACTGTCAACAAATTAAACGCATTTAGTTATTTTAACAACTTTTTTTTTCAGTGTGGACATATAACATCCTGCTTTAGCTCATAGCCCTTTATTTCTTATTAGTTTATTATTTATTGAGCTGAAAATTTAAATTTAGTAAATTTTAAAAGAAAATTCTCTTTGTGTATTGTCAATTTTTATTTAAATTATGTTAAATAAATAAATATATTTTTTCAATATATTATTATAAAATATCTCGATCATTATTAGAAAAAAAAGAAACATTACATTTAATTACATAATAATTATATTTAATCATATAAATATTAATCATATTTAATTTTATATTAAATATATACATAAATAGAAATGATGTTAAATTTTCTACAAAATATTTTAATATTTTTTCAATAATAAACTAAATATAAATTTACAAGTGTATGCACTTCTATTTGATCTTTCACGAGATTATTTTATTTTATTTATTTACACAATTATACAGCTACAAATTTTCAAAAATATATATCCTTTATACGTTTCTCCAAATATTTGCGCTTTCAATGTTGACTGTTCTCGTCCCGGCTTTCTCAAATTCGTTCCGCGGACGCGCGATATTGAATGGTACCAGAGGAGCCATGAAAAAAACAGAGAGAGAGAGAGAGAGAGAGAGAGAGAGAGAGAGAGAAAAGAAGGTATTTTATCGGCAACTGGATTACCGCGCGCTTGTGCGGACGCGATACTCACGGATGATACTCGTGGGAGGAGGAGTAAAACGGTATAATACTCACCGAGCAAAAGGAGAGCAGCGATTGATCCGTATACTTGCTGCACAGCGGCGACGTATGATGAGCGTGATGATCCTGCGTCGCCAGCCGCGCCGGCGGCTGGCCGTTACCGGCGATCTCCAGGTAGCCCCGGCTGCTCGCTAAACTACCTCCTCTCGTTCCAACATCTGCAAAATTGTATTGCGGGATTCGGGTCGTGTATACGTTGTTGTGAGCAACGACTCGGAGCGGATTTCGTTCGCATTCAAGTGAACGCTTCCTCTCATTGCTGCAGCAACGCGGTACAATACAGGGTGGACCATTTTAATCCATCCAGTCGAATATCTCGAAAATCAAGCCCGGGAGAGAAAAATTTTTCAGACAAAAGTTTTCGGACTTCGAGGGGGACATAAGATGATAACATTGGTTTGACCCTGAGTGGCGTCGTCAAGGTCAGGACAAGGTCACTTTGAATTTA